AAAATATAAAATTTTGAAAATAAACTTAATGTAAAAGTAAAATAAAGGATAAATCTCTAATTTGATTCATGAATTAATGTATGGATCATTAATTTGATTTCTGAACTAAAAAAGTCTTTGATTTGGTCCTTGAATAATTATATGGACTCTCAATTTGATCCATATTGTTTATCAATTTGCCTCAAGTTTGCCTTTTTGTACACAAAACAGCTGACATATCAATTACTTAACAGTAAAAAACAGTAACATAACGATGAAAAACACTAATTTAATGGCTACGTGTCATGTTAATAACAAAACACATCAATTGATTTTTGCACGGAAAGATAACTTGGGGTAAATTGGTAAACAGTAGGGACTAAATTAAGGGTTCGTAAAATAGTTTAAGGACTAAATCAAGAATTTTTTTAGTTCAGGAACCAAATCGAAGGTTTGTATAATAGTTTAAAAACCAAATTAGAGATTTAATCTAAAATAAACAATTACATTAAAAAAATACGACAATAATCCCACTTAGTGCAGGATTGTGTTACACAGTGACTGTAATTTATTTTTTATTTTTTATTAGTATAAAACATTTATTAACATTACAAAAAATAAATAAGATGTTAATTAAAATTAATTGATTATAATAAATTTGCATTTAAAATCGTGTAAAAATGTACCATATACTCCCATCTCAAATGAAGCCTGAACTAATTTGATGTAAAATCCCATTAAAAAAAACTGATTTAATGTAAATTTCTTAATCTTATTTTATTTTGATTGAGGATTAAACATTTTCTCTATTAAATATGAGCTACAAGGTTCATTTTCTTTCAGAGTAATTTTGTACGATTAGATAATTAAATTTATTTTCGATAATATGGTTATTTGAGTTTTAGGTATAATTAATCCTACAACTACTTGTAAACACTATTTATAAATATTAAGTAAAACTTTATCTTTTAAAATTGGGAGTGTTAGCCAATTAAGTTATTAACATCTAAGTGATAATAAAGGATTTGAATTTGTTTTCTCAATATGGTTTTCACATTCATCTTTACTTTTTCTGATTCAAAATAACTATTATTTTTCACTTTAAATTTATTTTAAATTAATTGTTATTTTTTTATTCATTAAGGTAGATAAATATTTTTTTGATTATTTTAATCTTATCATTATTTATTTATTTTAAAATTTTTTACTTTAAATTTGTTTTAAATTAATTTTTATTTTTATTTATTAAGGTAGATAAATATTTTTGATTATTTTAATCTTATCATTATTCATTTACTTTAACTAATTATCTTATCATAAAAAATTTTAATTTTATCTTTTAACTTTTTTATAAGATAGTAATATATATGAATAACCCTAAAATTCTAAATTTAGAAAAAAAGTAAAAAAATGAAAATTATTATAGGATAGAGGGACTTGAGCAAATAGTTTGGCCTAACTACAATTTTTATAGCACAAATACTAATAGACAACAAGATTTAGGCCATCTGATCGTCACTTAATTTGATGTCGTGGCTAAATAGCCACAAAATCAGGGTCCTAATTACACCTTAATCATTACGGAAGCTTTCGTAGGCCAGCATTGTTAACGACAATTAGAGTTCGTTATTTTCTACCTTCCCCCACATCCAAGAAAATGTAAGGATTTCTTTTGACCGTCGCGTAACTTTTTCTTGAAAGAACGAAAGCAATCGTTTTAAAACTTCAATCAAATTATATAAAAGTGGACAGCTCTCTCGCCTTTACAAACTCAATGTTTTTTTTTTTTAACTCAGAATCTTTATGTTTAATCTATTGGAATTTTTTTCATTATGATAATGATTCACTAACAAAGTTTGTTAACATCAAAGTGAGCACATATAATAATTGATTCAAAGCATCTGATTGTGTTAGGAAAAAAAAAAAAGAATACAAATTATTATCATATCAGATATGTTATCAACAAATATTATCATCAAACATATCTTTTTTTGTTTTATATTAACCTTCTAGTATTCTTAACCACATTGAATCCCGATTAATATAAAATTGAGTCGCATCAGATCTCATTATTGGGAAATTTCTCCCTAACAGCCTATTTTTTCATTCATAATACTCTAATATAGTCTTATTTAAGATGAATCAAATTCCTTCTACTTAGATCAACAACTTATTGATTTCATCAAATATACCTTTAAATATGAAGAATCAAACTTTGAAAAAGAAGGAAACAAAAAGAATTCCCGTATAAATTGTTTAACGAAATTTAAAGCCATGCATTCGCCACTGATGGCGGCCGTGATTCAGTGACTTAATGTAGAAAGGAGCATAAAACTATCAATGAAGAAAGTCCTCTGTGGGGTCTATGTGTCCTTTCGGCTTAAAGACCCTGAGCCTCTAAACTTTGAATTTTCAGGCCTGAGGTGCCCAACTATCAATGTAAACAGCTATAAATGGGTCATTCCCCTGCCCATGAAATCTCCAGAGCACATTCCTCCTAATTACAGAACCAAATCGAAATCTAGCAATCTCCTCTTTCCCAGCCATGGCTTCCAACCTTAGCTTCAAGATCTTGGCAGTCCTGGCTCTTGGACTTGCTCTCTGTGTCCAAGCCACTCTAGGTAAGTCTCTCATGCTGCAAAAAAGTTGAATAGTGAATTCAAACTGAAAATTACCACTAATTATCACTTTTCTTTTTTTTTTTTCAGTCTAGGCACTTAAATAGAAAATTTTTTTACAAATTTATATGGGATTCGTGTATTATAGTTTGGATTGTATATAAAAAATGCAGTTTGTTCTTTGAATTTATTAAAATATCTTTAATGAAATAACATAAAAAATAATTTCATTAAGGATATTTTAATAAATTTATATAATGGAGTGCATTTTTAATCCACTTTATAAAACACTTTTTTTGAATCTATGTTCAAGTAACAATACTAAATGAACTACTTAAACTATGACTTGTTACTTTTATTGAAAGAATATTATCACCAAAGTAAGTTAAGCTGAAATGTCTTGGTTTAAGTTTATGTCTTTTATTGTGCTTTTGATCAAATTGAACTACTCCCATGATTATATATATATTGATTTTAGTGTATAATTATACAAATTGATAAATCATTCAGTTTGGTACAGTTTCACAATTACTTTAATTTTTTAAAATAAAATTTCTAAGTAATAGTATTTAATTAGTAAAATTTATTTTGGCGATTATCCTATTAAAAGAAAACAATTGGTGGTTGTAGGAGGAGTAACATGCGAAGATCTTGACCAAGACGTGTGCGCCTTCGCCGTATCATCCACCGGAAAGCGCTGCGTGTTAGAGAAACACGTCAAGAGGACCGGACAGGAAGCCTACACCTGCCGGACGTCTGAGATCGAGGCCGAAAAGATCAGGAACTGGATTGAAACCGATGAATGCATCAAAGCATGTGGCCTTGACCGCAAATCTTTCGGAATCTCCTCCGACTCTCTCCTCGAGTGTCATTTCACCAAAAAGCTCTGCTCCCCTCAATGCTACGACAGCTGCCCCAACGTCGTCGACCTTTACTTCAACCTCGCCGCCGGCGAAGGTAAACAAACATAAACTGTCCTTTTTAGACAAAATACTAAAATTCCAACAAACTTTTTTGGTAAATATTTTCTTTTTAAATTTTGGCAGGAGTCTTTCTTCCAAAACTGTGTGAAGCACAAGGAGGCAATGTACGAAGAGAAATGGCTGAGATCCGGAGCTCCGGTTTGGTTGCCCCAGGACCTATCCAACCAGGGAGGTTGATTGTGTCTCCGGCATTGTCTCCGGCAGAGGGGCCGATCAATTAGATCTGGAAGGAGGAGTTGATAGTTTCATATATGAGGAATTAGTTTAGAATAAAGATATGTTGCAGCATATATATTGTAGTAAGCTTATTTATGGTGTGTGTCCAGGAAATAAGGTGCTGCTTAATTTCTATAGTTTGTAGGGACGTAGACATATGCTATACGTGTTTTACATGTGTAGTGGAAATGAAGCATACCCAATACCTGTGTGGTTATTTTAATGGCTAAGAAGAGTGAAATTATGAAATTAGTAGTATAATTGTTTGAGAGAATGTATCATATCCTCTGGTCTCTATTTACTCGATCTGGTGATGCATGTGATGTTCTCATTTCCAACAAATGGCATATGATTACGGTCGTTTTGATATTGCTTTCACAGGTTTTTTCCACCAAGTCATCATGCTTCCATCCCCATCGTTTAGACTTTAGAGTAATAAATGTACCCTTCGTTTGGTCTCCTCCAGTAACAGGAGCGAATGATCTCCCCCGTTTGTGCCACCAATTTAATGAGAAAAATGTTTATCAGCATATTTGTTAAATATTAAACGAAAAATATATATCCAAAACTACATAATTATGATAAATTTTTATTAAAAAAATATTAAAACATTATATTTTTTAAAATAAAAATAAAATTATTTGTGTTTTATTGAAACTATAGAGTTTTTTTTTTTTTTTGAAGTTTGACAAATAAATACTAATTTCATTTAAAAAACCAATTAATTTGTGAACTTTTATGCAAAAATGAGCATAAATAATTTGGTGGTGTTATAAGAATAAATTTTTTATATTATTTGGTATCATTAAATGAGTGGATATATTTAATATTATAAGTTTTATATGAATTAAAAAAATTAATTATTTAAATGTCATGTCAAATTATAATAAAAAATAATTAAAAAACATTATTCCAAAACCACCCCTCTAAATAATTGATGCTGAAATCCCGGAAGAAGTTAGGCTACAAATTTCAAAAGTCTGGAAGGTTGTGCATTCGCCGCAGACTAAAAACTGGTACCCACAGGAAACCGACAACCAAGTTCCCAACAGAGTTAAACAGTTCATGTCGACTCGGCATCATTTTCTGGCGCCCACATATTAAATTGGCTGAGTTC